GTGGCCTCACCTGCGCTGAGTCCAGGGGAAGAATCACTTCCTTGGACCTGCTGGCCACCCTGTTCCTGATTGTATTAGGGAGGGTTCAAAACCATACTGAAACTCGAAACCAAGACACCGTTAAAAGTTTAACAAAAACCAGTATTTATTACCAAGAGGTGGCCAACAAAACGAACAAACCCAATAGGGAGGAAGGAGGAGAGAAATAAGCCCCCAGTTACCCAGCTGTTGCCCATAAAGTTCTCTTACCGACCTAGCAGGCCTATAATTACCCAGAGCAGAAGCTGCATCCTTGGAGAGTCAGTAAGTTCACAAACTGGCAGGTGTCTCTGCCAAAGGCAACATTGTCCTTGATATGAAGTTAGCTCTCCCCAAGAAAGCACTATCTGCTTTTTATACAATTAATTGAGTGGCCACAACCTCCCAGGTGTGGCCAGCACTGCCCAGCCCGAGGCCCTCAGTCCCACCCCCTTGGTTATGTCAGTGCATCCCTTCTGTGCACCTGAGAACTTGGGAAATCCCCTCATGCACGCACAGTGTGTTTTGGGGGTCTTTCTTAATTGAGTCTGGGGCCGAGCCTTCCTCATCCTCCTCCTCAAACTCTCCTTCAAGCGACCTTGGAGGACAACTGGCCAATCACAGAACACCAAATACAACAGTTTATACAAGAAGCTCTCTTCAAGGACAACTTTCCTGTTTATCAGGGCTTGTTTTCCCATAACTTGGCAGGGAAAGAGCGAAGCTTTCACAGGTGGCAGGGCCAAACACAGACCAAAAATATCAGCATAAATTCACCCTGGTACAGGGGGTCAAACCTCTCCCATGAAGTCCGAGCAGGTCCGGGCTGGGGGCAGAACAGGGCGTAGGAAACGAAGGCAAACGGGAACCAGCAAACAGCCAGATGAGCAGGCCGAGAACAAAAGGACCCCGGAGCCTCTCCAACACACCCCTTGCCTGAGCTAAGGCCAAAGTGAAGGGCTTGCCCTTTGCCCAGGAGAAAGCAAAAAACTCCACCCCCCCAGAGCCTTCTGAGGGCTCCCAACCTGCAATGTGGGCTGGGCCAGTTCCTTTGTGGGTGTGAGCCACCCAAGGCAAAGCCCCCTCCACCATCCAACATCTTTCTTTTCCAGTGGGGCAGGGGAAAGAAAAATTCCTGCTTGGTTTTTTAGAAGTAAAGCTATGACAGGGATCCCCTCCCCCCTGCCCTCACTGCCCCCAATAACAGGGACTGGGGAGAACTGGGAAGCTTTACTGGGAACACTGGGAGCAGCCGGCTGGGGTCAGAATAAAAGCAGGGCCGGGGGGGAACCAC